TCTAACATCATAGAATGGTTGCATTTTCCACTTAGCAGAGTCCATAATTTACATGATAGTTGTCACATTTTCCCCTTTCAAGACTCAGTAGTATACACGAGTTTGGTTTTTTAAATTTTTTTTTATTATTTCAGACGTATCTAAGGAATAGACGTTAGGCTACCGGATCTGTAATCGTGAGATTATGGATTCAGGGGTTCGAGCCCCAGCTCGGTCTGACGTTGTGTCCTTGGGAAAGGCAGTTTACACGCATATCGTATATGCTTTGGTCCTTTCGGAAACAGACGCTAAACTCTGAGGTCCCGCATCTTAAACAGCCTTATAGAGTTAATAGGGGCGGTAAACCTGTACAATTTCTCATTTTTTCATTTCAGACGTATCCGAGGCCTGGAGGGTGACATAGAGGTGTGGAAGCTGGAGTACATTTCCCTGATACAGTCCAGTATACGGTTCACGGGCTCTGACACTATGGATGATGCAGAGTTGTCGCTCTTTGGTGGAGACAGGGTAAGTAGAGATGTGTTTATTGTGTGCTTACTCGCCCGTTTGTCTGTTCGGTTGTATAGTACTGTTATGATAACACAATAACGAGAAGGGGAAATTTAGTCATGCAAATCGGTTGATATGTCCTCGTACTGTGATTTCTGCAGTTAAATTGCATCAATCTTATCTTGTATCCAGTCCACATTATGTCTCTGAGAAAGGAGGCCCACCACATTACCTCCTTCACCTCACCACAATCTGTCTATCACCCACACGACATTCTCTCTTTGTTTTACCACCCCCTCTCTCTCTCTCTCTCTCTCTCTCTCTCTCTCTCCAGCACAAAATCCGCATAACATCACTCCTGGAAGATGTCTGCTACACCAGCCTCCCCCCCCCAAGTCCCACCCCACTTCCCCCCTTCATTCTCTCACCAACTAATCCCCTCTCCCTCTTCCCTCTCTCTCTCCCCAGCATAAAATCCGCATCATGTCACTCCTGGAAGAGGCCCGCCGCATCAACCCTTCATTACCCACCTACGAGCACCTGGCCTCTGGAGAGGTTCACGTGGACTGCTACGGGTTCAAACACCAGTTCGTCGACGACGGGCTGCTGCTACACTACCTGTGCCAGGAGCTGAGTCAGCACTTTCTGTCACAGGCCAGCTCTCACGAGAAGCACCAGAAGAACTGGATGATTTACCTCAAGAACCACGCCAAGGGGGTGGCTGTTAATGTGAGTGGTGGATGGATGGATGGATGGATGGATGGATGGATGGATGGATGGATGGATAGATGGGTAGATGGATGGATGGATCATT